ATCCTGGGTGTGTCTACATGTGCATATTAATGCAGAGCAAATGTACCGAATGGATCCAGACCATGCAATGACAAGAAATATAAAGCCTGCCAACATCTCTCCACCACCCCCCACAATTACTACACCCCACAACAGAACCATCAGTATTTGAGTTGGTTTAATAAAAGATATCAGATTTACCAAAAGAACCTTGTCTGCCTATGTCCTTAGATCAACACTGCTACAACCTACACCCCTGGAGTAATAAACTCTGGGGCTCATCACTTACACATGTACCCAGGACCATAGCACATTGAGCTGGGTTGGAGCAAGGAGCAGCTCTGACCTGGCTCAATGTGCTGTGGACGGGGTGGCTGGGGCATGAGGGTGCAGCTCCTGCACTGAAACACTCTCGTGCCCCAGTCAGCACCATCAGCGTCTATATATGCATTGCCATGACGTAAAAAAAAAACTCTACTGTAGGATAGTATTTGTATTTACAAGTACTAACCTGCTGTGGATTTAATGAGTTTATTCCAGCCTAATAACCCTGCGCATGGAGATGCCAAGACTTTTACTGTAGTTGGGCAACTCTGCAGTAAACATCTTGTGTAGACACACCTCCTGTGATCTGATCATGTGCCTCCCCAGTGTCCTGCCACGCCAGGTTCCACACACTGCTCTGCAGAGGCAGTCGGGGAGGGCAGCATGGTAGGGAGCATCACCAGCACCTGCTGCCTGCCCTGGGCTGGGGCCAGGGAGGCAGCAGCTGTTTGCAGCCTCCTGGCTGCAGCTGACCCAGGTTCTGGATACCTGCTGCCAGCCATGGATCCTGGGCTGCTTGCAGCAGGGCTTGCATCTTCCCAGCTTCCTGTTGGGAGCAACCCAAGCCCTGTGGCTATCAGCAGCTACCCAGAACCTGGTCAGGCTGCAGCCAGACTACAAACAGCTTCTGCCTCCCCACCCTGGCCCCAGTTGTCTCCTGCCCTGGGCTTTGGGAAGGCAGCCAACACCGCACCCATCAGCCAGGGCAGGGCTGTAACAGCTGTTTGCAGCCTCCCGACTGCAACCAGCCTGGGCTCTGGGGTAGCTGCTGCCAGCCATGGTGCCTGGGCTGCTTGCAACAGGGCTTGTAGCCTCCCAGCTGCCTGCTGGGAGCGGCCCAGGCACCATGGCTGGCAGCAGCTGCCTAGAGCCCAGGCTGGCGGTTGAGTGCTGAGCAAAATGGCCTCGTGTGCCGGGGGTTGCTGACCCCTGATCTAAGCACCTGTTCTGAGTTCTGTGGGGGCTACACTGGCTGTCCTGTGGGATTTGGTACTGTAATCAAAAAGTATTCCTTAATTTTCCGAGGAACAGTGCACAATTTGCGTCCTGCCTCATAGATGCTCCAGTAAACCCACAGTGCTACAGCAAAAATCAATAGTAGAAACAGTTTTTCCTAACCTGAACATTATATCTTGGCAACATAGAAATTACTTTCCCGAGTATCCACACAACAATGTCAAAGAAGAAACAACAAACACATTTTCTTATGCTGGGAATACATTGCAATTAAGGACACATTTTTGTTTGTAATACAAACAAGTATTCAGCCCTAGCCCCTACCAACTGGGTTCAGTAACTTTTGTGCAAACTAGGAACAGGGCAAAACATTCAAATGAGTGTCCAGGCTGCTTGGCAGCCATGTTCAATTGTGAGTGCACGTGGCGCCTGCTGCTTGAGCGCCCTCCCAGCTCCTTGCAGACTGGAACTCTGTCACTGTTTCCCCACATTTTTCTCCTTTAAAGGAGAAAATCCAGGTTTTTCTTGTTAAAATGAGAAAAATCCGTGTTTTACCACATTTTTCCCATCACAAATGGAAAACTCAGATCCCATGCTGACCACTAAGCTATTAACTATCCCAGGATGGGCCATTCTGCTCACTCTCATTTTACAGGAGGAATTTGAGATGTTCCTGGTTCTATCCCTGAAGTGGAATGATTTTTTTTCTGAAACCTCAAGAAGTCATGTGGGTTGGAAAAGCACCTCCAGCCCAGCTCGGTTGGAACATGCCCAAGCCTGCCTTTCTAGGGCTCTCTGCTGAATGCCATATTTTAATCTCTCTCAGGCATTCACGCAACCCCACAACGGCTGGATGTTTTTAAACCAACAACACAAGAGGCAAATTTTCAAACCAGCTTTACCCTTTGCCCCAGCCCCTTCTGAGATGCTCAAATTAAATCCACTTTTTCTGATCAGCCTCCTAGCTATGTTATAAAAAAAGCAGACTCACAGAGAATAAAATATATTGAGATCATCAGGTGCTGATGTTGACTGGGAAGCCATCTGTTGGCCTGCAAAGAACTTGATACTTCCAGTGACTTAAGGAAGCTACCTCTTATCCTCTTCTCTTCATTTCTCCACCTCTTTTCTTTCCCTTTCCATACACCAACTTTCTTATCTTACAGTACAACTGCTCAGTAGCATGGTCTTCCCCCACAGCTCTCTTCGAGCCTCCCTGACCGTTCCAACCTGGATTCTTTTGGCATTATATCCCAACGTTCCACCTTGTTGCTAAGAGATGTTGCTTTGTCCTTGTAAATGCTAGTTAAGGTAAAAAACCTGATGATAGTGCATGCATCTTTCCTCATGCATCACAGCTGGTTATGCAGTTCCATTGACTTTGTGTGTCCGACCCAGTCGTAGTTTCCTAACCCCAAATTCCATCTCATTATTAGTACAGAGTAACAAACTGTGATGGCAGAAGATAGCTGTTGCAAGATGCAGGATGATAAATACCATATTTGACTTGTAATACTGCAAAATAATTGTTTTTGATATGCTAAGGGGAATGGCACGGGCCATTAACAGGGAGCAACTGGGCTCAAAATTCCTTTACACTTTTAGCCTCTTATATTTTTGCTTTCTGTATTACTAGGTTGGTGATATTGTTTTTTATAAATTCCATTCATTTTTGTGGACATACAAGGTATGTCCAGCCGAGCATGCACATGGGTTTCCTCATGGACAACTAGCAGCAGCACGGATTTGTGCCACTGATAGTTCTGTGGAGAAAGCCCGTGCATATGCGCTCAGGTGTGGGGCAAATTGCCCTTGGTGGGTGGGGTATGGGAGGCTGGGGCCAGCACCTGGGCTGGTCCCAGCAGCCCTACCTGGGGCCCGAGGCTGCAGTGGCAGCAATCCAAGTGCAGAGAGCCTAGCCAGCAGCTGGAACATGGCTCTGGCTGGTCAGCCTCTGGTTTTGGGCAATGCATGCTGCTGCCAGCCGTGCCACACCACTATTTCTCAGCACACTTTTTCTTGATACTGGGATTTCCTGGTATCTAAATTTGGGTCTGTGCTGCAAATATGCATCATAGAGAACCAAATCATGTGCACAGGGTGTATTTTGCAGCATCTCAAATACCTTTGAGGAGAGGCAAAGCGCATGAGCACACTTGTGTGGACATGCCCACATAGTTAACTGGTAGTTTTAAGCTCTGCCTGTCCGCCAGTGCACAATAGGGGCAATTTTTATCATATGCAGCTAAAAGATGAGAAGTAACAACATCATATTGCTTGCTGAACTATGGAACCTGCTAACCTTTTCAATGACAGGAGAAGGCTGATCATTAGAAACAATGATAGAAGGGTAGCCAAGAATAACTCCCCCTGCATTTCCACCCATAAAACACAGATTTGCAAAGTAGATGCATCAATTAAGGTCCCAGTCAGACCTTCAGCGTGGCCAGAGAAAAAGGAATGGTGACTGAAACACTATTTTCTTAAAGTTAATTACCAAGTTTTGCATGCAGTTAGAGAGAAGTATATTTTCCCTCCTGTAACATAGCATTGGAGCCCTGATGTAAGAATTCCTTTCTGCCCAGGTCCTGCAAACTGTGACAAAAAACCCATATTTAGGTACCCATAGCTGTGCCAAATGAAAACATTTACTGCTATTTCTTAAACTTCAAGAGAATGCAGTGGATTCCACCAGGTAGCCATTTTTGACTGGTATATTGGCTAAATTATCCAATAGCTTATGAGAGCCATTCACCTCACTGGTTAATGCTGATACCAAAAGTGACATGTTTCAATATACGATATTTAAATATCAGTGCTGTTAACCATATCACTGCTGACCATTTTTCATTTTAGTAGGAATGTCCAGCTCAGGCAGTTATTACACAATTTTACACTGCCTCCAAAATGCCCAAATCCCCTCCTGTCCCGGACTCAGCTGCCAAGCTTATAGCTTGCTCTTGATGGCCTACTTCAGTGATTCTCAACCAGGGTGCCCTCCAGCCAGGGTGTGAGAAGATAAGGGAGGTGTGAGGAGATAAGCAGATGAGGACTGGCTCAAGCTCTACAAGCCTGGCCACTCCTCTGCCCTATTACCTGATCCCTCTTGAAAGGAGGTAAGCACTATAATAAGTTTTTGAAATGGGGTGCTGCTCAATTCACAAAAGTTACAGAGGGGTGCCTGGAGTTAAATAAAGGGCACCTTGACCCTAAAGAAGTTGGGAACCACTAGCCTGTGATGCAGATCCAAATGGTCAGTACAAAAAGCTACATGATGCAAAAACAGGAAATACAGAAGATGCATAAAACTTAAGCTGAACTTAATAACAAGGAAAATAAAAGGCGACAGAAACGATTGCATTACCCAGCCTCATATTTAATCCTGCAGTCTGCTACAGCAGAACGCTGAAGAATCTTTGTCACGACAGTCTGGTCTGTCTTTCTTCTTTCTTCCTAACAGCATTTTGTGAAAATCCTGCCCACCTTCCCAGAGTTTGCATTCTCTAACTTTCTACTCTATCTAAATATTCTGAACCGTGCTTGTTGCCATTTCTAAAATGAATTAGAAAACTTTCGTTAGATTTTGCTTTCAGACTTGATCAAACTATGCAGTTGGCAGTTGCTTACATTGTCTGTTGATCCTGTTGTGATTGATTTAAGGCTAGAAGAGTCATCACTCGACCTCTGATTGCTTCTTCTATGCTTTAATTTATATGCTGACTACTTTCAAATGTGAGAAATTTTCAAAGTACTGTAGTATAATTTCAGAAGCATACACCTGTAAATCAACCAAAATTGGACTTCACTCCAAGAAGAAAGATATTTGTAAAAAGCTCTCCTGAGTTCCATTCTAGGCAAATATCATATTGTGTAGGCTTATCAGACACTTAAGTCTGGCAGCAGTAGCACATGACTAATGATGTGCAGTGTTATGGTTTAAGTGTTATACACAACCATGAAGTGACTGCATGTGCAAGAAGTCTCCATGGTGGAGAGCCCACAAAGGCCAGGTCTACATTACAATGTTTGGTTGGCATAGATATAGTACACCCTCTAAGCCAACATTGCTATGCTGGCAAAAACCCTGGTCTGGATGCAGCTATACTGCCAAAGGAGGACTTCTTCGGGATTAGCCTCCATTGTTTGGTGAGGTCGCTCTACCACGAGGAAAAACCTCTGGACCTATGGCACGTCTCCACGAGGGGACTCTGTTGCATAGCCATGCAGCACAGCCTCAGCACAAGGGGCTCTGTAGTGCAAAGCCAAGGACAGTCACATTCCAGTGTGCTTGTTTCTTTAGAGCCTAACATGATCTACTGAACCTCTTTTCAGACTAAACCCATTGTTGTGTGTGGATTTTGCAATACAGAAGTAAGGCCATTTCTTTCACCTTTAACCTCAATACATAGAAGCGGACACAGCACATACTAGACAGGTGAAAGGAGAAGTGCTGTGTAAAGGGTTACTGATAAGATATGAAACTAGCTGAATCCAGTCAAAAGAGGAACCTTGTCAACAGAAGAAACTTGAAAGCCATGCAAGGATTGTTTTTGTAAGATAAGATACATCTTGGCAAGAATATATGGAATATACAGTCACGAGAGTTAAACTTTGGTGTTCAGGCGCACAGTGCCACCTGATTGGATAGAGTAGCAGTTTAGTTAGTAAACAATTGGGTATTCTTACGAGCACAAGCTAATCACAAACCAATGCTGATGTACTAACAAGGTATAAAATAGTATTATAACTGGTAGGCGGAGTCCCTCTCTGGAGGCACCTCGCTGCAGCGAATAAAGACTCTATATCCAATTCTGGGTGTCTGCTCTGCGTGATCACTGCCCCAGCCTAGAGCGAACTGCACGTGGCTTTAAGAGTGTAATTCGTAACACCCACTGAAATAAAGTGACAATAGACTTCTGATAGCATTCACTACGACATGAATACAACTCAAATGGAGATTAAGGTAGACAAGAGTTAAAGGAAAGAAAGACAAAGTTGGATATAAGGTTGCCATGAACTCCTTTTGCTTTATTGTAGTTCAGCACACCAGATTAAAGTTGGAACGACTCTTCATTTTCTCCTACTTTTTATCTTCTTTTTTGATAAAAACAGTCATTAAAAGAATCTGTTCCCCATTTGTAATCTGGGTGGCTTTTCTAAGCAGTTTAAACTCTGTAGTTTCTTCTAAAGAACGATGCATTCTGTTGCTTGCTTCCTGGTAATTTTCTCAACTGAACCGCTTCCATCCTTTATTTTTTTAATTGCTTCCACAATCTAAAAATCAAATCAAGACATTAACATACCATGGTGAAAACGGTAATATTTTGGTGAGGGGAGGGAGGTGCTGGGCCTATGTCAGATCACGGCAAAAACTGGAACATGACTTGAACCACCTTTGCTTTACTTACTAAAATGCTTTTGGAATTAACACACCATTAACTGTCCCAAAATTTAAATAATTCTTGTCTATCTCTCTCATTGCCTTTCTCAGTCACCTACTGTACTATCTAATCTCCTGCCTACTGCACTTACCTGTCCATGTATTTGATTTTTCTAGACTTGGATCCTCTCCTTACCACACATTTTCAGTCAGGGAATACTTTTCCACTGAGCCAGAAAGACCTCAATCCTTAACAGCACAAAGCTTTACTGTTTCATACATGAAATGCTGAATAGCAGCATTTTTTTTTTTCAGTAGTACCTACAACTGAAAGAGACCAGTCCCCTGCTATCACAAGCACCATACTGTATCACTCCTCTAACCAACATACCTTAAAAGCACCTTGGTTTGTTGCACGCCCCCACCACCCAAGGTTGGAAGGCTGCTCTAGAATCCAGTTACTGTGTTGGGTAGGATTCCCTCTTCTGTTTTCCAGTCTGAATCTATTTGTGACCAACTTCTACCCATTTGATCTTGTGCCAGCACTGGCCTTTTGCTTATATCACTGTTTCATTCCTAAGCCCAAGGTTTTTCATAGTTTCATAGTTTCTAGGGTCGGAAGGGACCTGAGCAGATCATCTAGTCCGCCCCCCTGCCATGGCAGAAAAGAGTACTGGGGTCAAACGACCCCAGCAAGGTGTTCACCTAACCTCCCCTTAAAAAACCCCAGGGTAGGAGCCTGCACCACCTCTCCTGGAAGTTGGTTCCAGACCCTAGCCGTCCTGACGGTGAAATATCGCCTCCTGATGTCCAACCTAAACCTACCCTCTGCCAGCTTGTGACCATTATTCCTGGTCACTCCTGGCGGTGCTCGGGGGAACAGTGACTCCCCCAATGCCTGCTGATCCCCCCTGACTAGTTTATAACAGGCCACAAGATCCCCCCTCAGCCTTCTCTTTTGTGGAGACCAATCATAACTGCTCCTAGCCTTCATTTTGCTGTGCTAAACAGGCAAGCTCTTTTAAAAAGTTTCCTCTCTTCTAGACTGTTTGGAAGGAGAAGCTCTTCTACTCAACTCCCAGATGCCCCTAGGAGCCCTTCTCTACACCTGTTCCAGTTTCCATTAATCTTTCTGAACAGGAGCAACTGGCATTGTATGCAGTATTCTACACGTGGTCTTACATGTGCTTTGTGCAATGGCATTGCGCATTGTGAAATATTTCCCTGTCTCTCCTGATGAACCCTAGTTCATGTTTGCTTTTTTTGCAGTTGCATCACACTAGAGGCTGTTACTTATCCTACTAGTTAGTGTTCCTACTGATTAGCCGATGTTTCTGGTATCAAGCCCCCAAATGAATGACTCAGCAGTTTGTGCTACTGAACGTCTTATTCTCTATGTCTGATATCTTGGTTCCTTTTGTATCGAAGATGACTCCCAACTTTGTGTCATCTGTAAATTTCAGTCACAAACTCCTATTTGTGTCAAGATCATTAATGAAAATATTAAATAAGACTAGTCCCAAGACCCACCCTTGAGGACCTCCAATAATAAACCCCCTCCAGCTTTTCCTTTCATTACTCCTCACTGCTTTCTCCCCTTGAGCCAGTTCCTTCCCCAAGTTCCTCTACTAATCCCTGTACCCTTATTACACACCTAAACCCAGTCTAAAATAGCTTGTGGCTGGTTCAATAATTTGGTGAGTGACCATTTGGTGAGGAAATTAGTTGGCTATTACAAAAATCTGGGCTATCTAGTATAACTAGCAACTTGCCCTCCAATCTCTATCTGGGAAATTAAAGTTTCCCATAATGACAATTCCAAAAAAACCTATTATTTTCTCATTTTGGGATTGAGATGGAGAATGAGCATAATAAAAGGAATTATTTATTGTGACTGGCAAACAGCCCATTACGGCAACTTCTCCATAGATTGCTATTGGTTGGCAGTGGGAAAAACAAGTGGGTTTGCTAACACCGGGAAGAAGCTGGGCTTTGGATATGGTGGGAGCTGAAGAAGTCGTCTCAAAATTGCTACTGGGTAAAGGAGGGAGAAAAAGAGAACTCTGCAGAAGAAGAAGAAAAGCAGCTTGCAGCATCCAACCTAAGGAAGCTGGATGTTCAGTAAGATCTGCAGGGAGGAAGAACTGCTCCACTGCAAGCAGGGCTGCAGCCTGCTTCTCCCTCGTGTCACCTTTTCTGAGTGGCCAAGCAGTGCTTGTAAAAAGAAAGGACTGCTATTGGCTAATGGACCTTGAGACCTCACCCAGAGTGAACCTTACTCTTCTTGCCTCCACTTACAATCTGGGCTGCCTACCCTCCCCCCTTTGTTAGTGAAAAGTGTTTTTAGCAATAGGTCACAAAATTACTGCTATGTACAGAGAAGTTTATTCCCTCGGATGTTGCACTATGCAAAGCAACAAAAAGCATTCATTACTTACATCTTCTGGAAAAGGGAAGCCAGAAGTTTCAATTTTAGAAAATACCAGCTTGCCATTTATCTTGACTTCAAAGCTTCCTGCAAGAGAGAGATTTTTCAGGTGCTATTCTAACAATATTTTGCAGCCCATCTTCTTAATATTTATCTAGACACAATTAGAATCCAGCCTCTTTTGCCCAAAACTTTGGACAAATGTAGATTTGCATCTGATTCTTTGTGGTTTGGCCCTCATCTTTAGTACTACTAACAGCACGTTTTCCATATGACTGTCAATGTACCTTATGCTCAATAATGAGACAGAACCACAACACAAAAACACTGAAGAATTAAGTCACGGTTACTAATTCATGGAATGCTACAAATGCATAGGATGGTAAGGCCTATACACTTCCACCAGACTGTACAACTCTTAGCTGAGGTAACTCAGAGTGTTATTGATACATTTTATGTACTTCTGCAGTAAGCTTACCTCTCCTCCCCACTTCCCCCAAAATCTCAGCATCGGGAACTTGCTCCTTGATTTCCTTAGCAAGTTTCTGATAACGGCCTGCATACCCTCATCCTCCACTGTAAAAGCAAATAGATAAAAACAAAGGTTTAGTATCCACAACATGACAAATAGCTTATATTTGCAATTAGGTAAAGAGCATACAGTTATAATGAATTTTCTACTGAACATTCACAAAATGAAATACGGGTACCTCTAAAGTCAGTATCTAAACTCACATTTTCAGTGAGGTAACTAATTTCATCTATGGTTTTTACTTACAGTAAAAAAAATTTATATGGCCAGAGCTACAAACAACGTGCATTAATATTGCTCTGTTACTAAACAACAAAGCTACTAATTTGATTGAGGATTTCTAGCACTACAGTTCTCCAGACACATTTCTGTAATGGCAGAGAAAAAAAATTGTAATTTTGTTTCCACATTGTCATAGCCTAATATCTATTAAGTTTTTCTTTAACATTGTCTTTCCCATTAAAATTTAGTTGTATTTTTAAAAGCTGTGGCTGAATGTGGGCCTGTTAATCTTCATTAGTTAAGGGGAGGAGGAAGCAATGTGCATTTAAAAAATGTCTGCATTACATTTATTAGAACCTTAATACAGGCAATTAGTATTTCAATGTGTTACCTTTGTTTCTTGGAAACAAAGTTGCATTGTAGAATAAGAAAATATTATAAGCCTTCCTTTCAAGTAGTTGATTTAAAATTTTTTTTACTCCAATTCAAATAGCTAGAAAACTTGAGGTTTTAACTTTTCCAAGTTGAACTGTGGCCAAAATATTAAAAAAAAAAATACAGATGGAGAAAAGAGTTGCAAAGCTGAGGGGAAGGGGAAGGAAATAAAAGCAGACAAGGAAAATACACAAAAATAAGAAAAGGAGAATAGAAAGGAAGAGGGGAGATTGTTTCTAAAAAGTAATGCGAATATGAAACACACTTTAAAGTAATTGGCATCTTAAGGGCTTAATCAATGGACTCTTCCTTAAAATGCTCCTTCTGAGATGAATTAGTGGTAGTTGTCTATTTTATAAATGGTGAAATGGATGGAAAACATTAGAGACTTTAGAGTAAGTGGAAGAAGAGGATGTGAACTTGTGTTTATTCCTCCAGACCACACGCTGCCACTTAAATTTAAGTCAGAAGGAGCATTTTAAGGAAGAGTCCATTGATTAAGCCCTTAAGATGCC